CACCCCGACAACCCCAAGTAGCGTACCACTCACGAAGCTGCTGGGGCGTGAGGGACTCACGAGGACGTCGCTGGAGCTGCATCTGGCCCCCGCCAGGGGCAGCAGGAGCAGTGGTAGCCGCAGTGGCAGCAGTAACAGCAGTAGCAATGCGGCCACCCCTACAACCCCAACTAGCGTACCACTCACGAAGCTGATGGGGGGCGAGGGACTCACGTGGACTGCGATGGAGCTGCATATGGTCACGCCAAGAGCAGCAGTAGCAGTAGAAAGAGCAGTAGCAGCAAGAGCAGCAGTAACAGCAGTAACAGCAGTGCTCACCAGTGGCAAGAAGGGCAGGAGTACGACAGCGGCAACGGTGAGGCCGCTACCACCGCAGGGCGAGGGCTCCGCGGCTGCTGCAGGGACTGCTGCTCCAGGGGCCAGGGGCGGCTGCTGCAGGGGCGGCTGCTCCAGGGGCCAGAGGCAGCTGCAGCAGCGGCGGCTGCTCTAGGGGCCAGGGTGCCGCGGCGGGCAGGGGCGGCTGCGGTTGACACGGCAGCGGCGGCGGCGGCTGCTGTTGTCGGCGGCGGCGGCGGCGGCGGCTGCTGCTGTCGGCGGCGGCGGCTGCTGCTACTGTCGGCGGCGGCGGCTGCTGTCGGCGGCGGCGGCTGCTGCGGCCGGGGCAGGGGCGGCGGCGGCTGAGAAGGGGCCGCGACGAGCCGCGACGGGCCGCGAGGGGCAGCGAGGGGCCGCGAGGGAGCCGCAACGGGGCTGCGAGGGGCCGCGAGGGAGCCGCGACGGGGTCGCGAGGGGCCGGGAGAGGGGCCGCGGAGGGGCCGCGACGAGCCGCGACGAGCCGCGAGGGGCTGCGAGGGAGCCGCGACGGGGCCGCGAGGGGCCGTGAGAGGGGCCGCGAGGGGCCGCGAACGGCCGCGGAGGGGCCGCGAGGGGCCGTGAGAGGGGCCGCGAGGGGCCGTGAGTGGGGCCGCGAGGGAGCGGCTAAGGGGCCGCGAGGGGCCGTGATAGAGGGGCCGCGAGGGGCCGTGAGTGGGGCCGCGAGGGAGCGGCTAAGGGGCCGCGAGGGGCCGTGAGAGGGACCGCGAGGGAGCGGCTAAGGGGCCGCGAGGGGCCGTAAGAGGGCGCGACGGGCCACGAAGGGCAGGGGACGCGACGGGAGGGCAGGCACACGGGGCGCGACTCGGGTAGGGGTGAAGCGCGCTCCGGGCAGGATTTTTTTTTTTTTTTTTTTTTCGATTTTCGGTGGGCCCTAGGAAACGTTCCCACTAGGGAACCTGCTCTATACCATGTGAAAGAACGAGGAATGAATGCACTAGGAAAGAGGTGGGTACAAGTAGGAAAACCTAAAAGTGTTGTACCCCATATTGTCTACCCCACTACAGCCTACACAGACTATAGCATATAAGTTTGACAATGTGTAGAATATAATGTGTGAATACGTGCACTAACAGCTTAGTAATTGTATTCAAATAAATGTATTCGGTATATCAAACCAAATGTATGGGGATGGAAGAATCCACCAAACACAACCGCCCGCATTGCAAGGCAAAGCAAAGCAATGCAAGCCATCAAAGCTAGTTTGATCCCCTTTGTGTTGATTGCGTGACGAGAATAACGTTTTGCTGATTGCCGCCTGCCTTTACTTTTCACTCTCTGGCATGCTCGAATTGTATCTGTCGTGTACGCCACTCGAGCCGAGTTCATAACATATGGTTCCCGCCATATGGCTCGCATGGGGGTAGCAGGAGAGGAGCGGATGTTTGAGGAGTATTTCCACACGCCCGAGGCTACGACCTTGTTGGATCCCTGGTTCTCGAGAGCAGTTGAGCTGCTTCCACAGCCGGTTCGGCAGGAGATACCGCCCCTTGCTTTGTGCACTCCTGAACCCCCATTGCTGCTTTTCCCTACGCAAGACCGTCGCCTAGCGGTCGAGAGCCTGCAGTCTCTTCGGGGCATGGCCCACGATGACGCCACCTTGGCCCGTTTGACATCCCTTCAGGGCCCGGGGGCGGGGGCGTGGGTCTCCGCCGTTCCGTCGCATGACGAGGCTACATTCACCGCACCAGAGTGGAGCATCAGTGCGGCCATGCGTCTAGGCATCTCCATCGTGCAGCTGATAGTTGCCGGCAAATGCGCCTGTGGGGTCGAATTTGCTGATCCTTCAGATCCCCATCATGCCCTTCGCTGCAAGCATCAGTATGCACCTTCTCGGGTTCACGACGCGGTTAAGTTCGTTGTGGCGAAAACAGCTAAAGCGGCGAGTGGGGTGGTGGCTATGGAGGACGATACGTTGCTGCCAGGGAAGAAGGTGGATGTGGCGGTTCGGAGATTGAGGGAAGGGGAGGAGCATGCGTTGGAGGTTAGCGTCGTAGATCCTATCTCTCTGTCAGCGCAGCAGCACGGACAGATCGGTCGCAAAGTGGGTTTCGGTGCTAGAGAGAGAAAAGTGGGAGGCAGCGGATTACAAATTGCTTTTGCAGCGGCATAGGGGAATGCAGCTCACGCCTCTCATTGCAGAGACCTGGGGATGTCTTGGTGGGAGCTTTGGCCGATGGCTTAAGAAACAGGGTGATGCACAGATTGAGGTAGCAAAGACGAAGGGAGCGGTAAGGGCCGCGGGAAAGGGTTTTTCTGTTTATTTGTTAGGGTCACTTAAAGCAGCCATAGGGGTGGCTCTGCAGCGCGCTCAGGCACGGGTGATCTTGCTACGTGCGGCGTCGATGATGAGAGGTCCAGATGTCGTTTGGGTTGAGCGGGAAGATATGGAGGAGGATGTTGGGTGGGATGCTCCGTTGGTGGGTGCGCCTTACTTGGTTGATATGCGGGTCTAGAGGAGGGGTTGGGGGCTGAGGAATTTTTAGATAGGGTGTTTTGTTGGGGTGTCTTGATGTGTTGTCTTGATGGGGTTCCTTGTGTGGTGTTTTTTTTTTTTTGAGTCTTTTGGGGGGTGCATTTTCCCTTTCCCTTTCCTTGTCCCTTTCCTTCGACTCCATACGCCTATTGTTACCCTTTTCACTAAATAAAAAAAAAAAGTTGATCAGGCTGGTTTGGCAGGTCTGGGAGAAGTGTCAAGGTTCATCACTAAGAAGAGCCTCCTTATTGCTTACGTGTCACATAAATATTGGGAATATATCGTCTTCACAGATCATGCTGCCCTCCCTGTCTAGACCCGTGTTGTCTCACATACATATGGTTCCCGCCACATATGGTTCCGGTTCCGATGTTTTCTGAACGAGTCAAATATTGAAAAGTTTGCGCGATGGGATGGGGAAGGACGACAAGACAAAGCACACAAGCAGCCAAATTGTCCGCGTGAAAGGGTTGTTTGACCAGTTCTGTGTCCGATACACAACACAACAGCAACGTCAAAAGCTGTAACGCGGACAATGGTCATGTTCGACCGCGTCATATCACAGCAGGCACAGTGCTTTGATCAAGGCGAGCGAGTTGAGGAGGGATGATGCGGTCCGGTCCGGTGTGAGGCAACCACAAGTCACGTAACGCGTGCTCCCGTGGCCATTGATTGGTCACCATGCCTGATTTGACATTTTCGAACCGAACGAACATAACCCCGCGTGAGCCTCCGCCAGCTGTCCAAGTCAAAGAAAAAATTGTCCGGTTACCTGGTCACTGGCGGTCACCCACAGGCGAGGGGAGCCAAGCCTTGAGCGAAGCGCGACATCTGGTAGAAATAGCGGCATCGTTCGCCATTCAATTCAAGCACATCACATCGGAATTCGCCGCTTTGTTCCACCAGCACCCAATTTCGGAAATCTGCACTTGTTTGCACCAGCCTATACACAATCCGCTCTCGTTTCCCCCTCAACCCATTACAATAGCTCAGCTCACTTCTGTCCTCTGTGAAAAGACCACATCCAAGTTCCATTCCATCTCCCGGCTTTGCCTATGGGATCAAAACATCACGCGTTTATCGAGACTGTTGATGCACATCAACCGTCAGAGGGTTATCACTCAAATTGCTTTCTCAATCGTCCCATTGTGAATCGCAGTGCATCCTCAGCTCCGCGACAAACATCATGCGTCTGATGCACATCGTGTGCGCCTACTATTTTTCCAAGGCATAACAAACCTCTGCAAATACGATTCCCTGGGATATGGCGGCGGCTGCCGTGCTTCTCGTGGATTCGAAACCTCCCACCAATAATAGCCGCTACCCAGCAGCTTCCGGAGTACGATCCCCCGCATCTCCCGCCGCGCGATCCGCTGCACACGTGTCGGCGTACCAAGGTGACGACCTCTCGATGGATCCGCCGTCGCCGTCCGTGACCGCCGCTGTCACATCTCGCGCCTCCGCCTCTGCCGGCGGCGCCGCAGCCTCCTCGCCGCATTCCACGGCGCCTGAACAGGAATTGCACGACTCCCACATCGAGACATTCCCGCGGCTTCCAGAAAGAGTCTCCGCCGCGGCTGGTAGCGCCGCGGGAGGGGCGTCCCGCCGGACCTTCCCGGATCGGCCCAAACGTCAACCTGTGCTTCGACACGCTGCGGAGGTCGTCTATTTTCCCAGAACGAGTTACCATCGTCCTGCGACAATTATTCAAAGCGCCACCAGCCGCGGCGACAGCTTAAGCAAGGCGAAGAGCCATCGTCGTACCAGTTCTGACTGCGCGACAGGCCACAGTTTCAACGCAGCGGCTGCCGCGGCGGCGGAGGCGGCGGCGGAGATGGCGGCATTTTCAGCGGCGGCGACGGCGGAAACAGCGGGGGATGGGGCGGCGGCCGACGTGGCATTTCGGCTCCGAATCGCCGCGGGCCAGTCGGCGCCGCGCCGCGCGCTGACTCGCTCCGCGTCATTTCAGCCGGTCGACGGACGTGATTCGCCTCTCTCTAGCGGCTCGCCCGACGCGGAGGACTCATTCGCTTTCCACGTCAGCGCCCCCAGGATCTGCGACGCCGCCGCCGCGTCTGGCGGAGTGGTGCTGCCATCGCGGATCTCCTCGACTGCAGAAACCGGAGGCGCGGATACGCGCCAGCTCAGCTTCATGGGAGCGCGATCTCCCTCCCGATCAGCGGCTGCGGCGGAAGCGGCAGCGATTGCCCCCGCGCAAGCCGCCTCAGGCCGCAGCGGTCCTCGGTCCCCAACCCCGCCCACCTCCCAGGGCGTCCCGCGGACTCCTAGCCTCCGCCTTCCGCCTTCCCCCGCGTCCTCCCGCCGCGGCATCATCTCCCCCTCAGGCTTTCACGCGCCCGCCTGCCCGCTTCCGCCTCCTTCCCCTTCCGCCTCTCCCCTTTCCTCCCCCTGCCTGTCCCCCTCCTCGTTCTCTTTCGCCGTCCCTCGTGCGAATTCTCGCGAAAATCGAGCTGCGGCGGCGGTGAGTAGCAGCGCATCTCGCGGGGGTGACGGCGGGAGTGGATCCGGGCAGCGCGAAAATCTTCCGCGCAGCATGAGCAGCCAATGGGACGTCTCGTCGCGCAGCCTGCGGGCAGGGCGAAATCTTTCGGTGAGCAGCCCGAACCGGATGCTGTCAACAAATCTGAACCTGAAAGCAGCAATGGCGTGTGTCGCGGCTGACTCAGCAACAGGCGCGGTTGACTCAGCAACAAGCGCGACTGACTCACCACGCGCTGGTGTTTCTGCCTCTGCAGCAATGCCGTCACCCACTCGGAACGCGACAGCAGGCAGCATCCTTCGACGTGGCGGGCTGAAAAGAATGCCCTCACTCGACAGCATGTCGCCTGTGTATGCCACGTCATCATCCCCTTCCAGCTCACCACTCTCAATCCACACAACCTCCAACCCACCTGCCACAGCCATCCCTTCCGAGCCTCTGTCCGAACCTGCTTCCAGTACCGCCGAAGCTGCTGCCGAAGCCACAGGCGCCGGCGCTGCTGCTGCTTCCTCCACCACCGGACCTCCCTCCCCCGGCCTCTCCCCCAAGGGTTCCCCCGTCCCCACTCCACAGCTATCCCCGGGTCCCTCACCCAAGGGTAAACACGTGCGGCGCGTGTCGTTCTGCACTATGGTTCGTGTACGCCGCTTCTCTGCCTGTGATGCTGATCTTGGCCCGGCTGCCGATGCCGCGATTACAGCTTTTGCTGAGGCAGAGGCAGCAGCTGCTGCGGCTGCTGAAAGGGCCACAGCGGCAGAGGAATCAACAGATGCAGAAACAGCAGCAGCAGCAGCGACGGCGGCAGCAGAAATGGCAGCGAAAGCAGCCAGGGAGGCAAGAGAGGCAAGAGCAGCAGAGGATAGCGCACAGGCCGCTCGCGTTCCCCCTGCTGCCCAGCATGCCCTGCAGCGGGGCAGCCAAAGTTTTTCCGAGCGACCGCACCGCCACTCCCGCTCCCCGTCCTACTCCGGGGCTCTCCACCTGGTTCCCGAGCCTGCCGCTCAGCCTCGGGCCATTTGCCGAAGCTCCTCGTTTCAGAGCCTCGGCTCGGGTGCGTCAGCAGGCCAGCACAGCAGCTATGGTCGTCCGGGCTACCAACTAGGCTACCTCCCATCACACTACCCATCAAACCACCCGACCCACCTCCCATCCAACCTCTCACCCAACTACCACAGTGGCCAGAGCTACTCAGCAGCAGGACGAATCTCTGGCATGGAAGAGAAAAGAGGAGGAAGGAAATCTCAGAAATTGGGAAATGTGGGGTTGAGTAGCGATTCTGGGGAGCTTGAGTTAGAGCTGAGAATTCCGGTGCCGCCCAGAATGCCTTCACCCAGGCTGTCCCCCTCTCCGCGAGTGCAGAGGCTGCTGCAGCACATGTGGGGTGAATTGGACGATGGGGATGCTGCATAGGTAGTTTAGAGGGATTTCTTTTAAATTTCTCATAATGCAGAGCGCCTTTTGCCAGGCTGTCTCCTTTGCTTAGAGTGCAGAGGGGAGGCTGCTGTGATTGATGTTTGATTGATAAGTTATGGATATTTGATTGATTTTGTTGTCTGAGTCACGGTCTCGGTCCTATGTTCTACAAGGTTACTGTACTATCTAAATAAATATAGGTTCAATGAAGCTTTTATAGGTTACTGGTTTAGGTGGTATTTACATTGTCTTATGGGCCGAATCAACCTGAATGGAAAGCCCCGTGTTGTTAGGTCGATGAAGCTTTTTTCTGAAGCATAAGGGAGTTTAAGCAGTTACAGTACCGTAGTGACAGTATGTCCAGTCAAAACCATCTTTGTGTTGGTCTTGCTTCTACGCTTACCTTACTCAAGAAGAGATATCACAACAGCTACAGCAATTCCTGCTGTAAGAGAGGCGAGCTGAATGACTGTAGAGAGGATGTCAACCCCCTGTGAGTGCATGTCAGGCATAACTCCCGCCACTGCAATGTAGATAAACCCCCCTGCTGTGAATCCCTGCAGCGCAATGAAACGAGAGGAGAAAACGAGGAGGTCATATACGAGTCTAAGCTTGAGTGCATGTCGGGCATAACCCCTGCCACTGCAATGTAGATAAACCCCCCTGCTGTGAACCCCTGGGCGCAGCAAAGAGAACAGGGAGTACGGTAGTAGCGTAGACTTGAGTGGCTGAGAGGGAAACCAGCTCGAGTGGGCCTCCTGCTTGAGGAGTGTGGGAAAAATAGTTTCGACCCAGATCCAGCAGATCTAACTCGTTCTAAACTCTAAACCCAGATCCAGGAAATCTAACTCGTTCTAAACTCTAAACCCAGATCCAGGAAATCTAACTCGTTCTAAACTCTAAACCCAGATCCAGCAGATCAAATAGTTTTGAGAATTCTGAAAAAACCAGCTCGAGTGGGCCTCCTGCTTGAGGAGTGTGCAATTGGGATTCTCCCAGCACACACCGACATGCATGCTGCCTGCTACACTCCGTACGCCTTCTGGACAAGGGAGCTTACCTCTATGAGACCTGAGTGGGCTTCTTCCCCTCCGAATATGAGCGCCTGAGTACAAGGCAAGTAACGGATGCAGTGAGAAAAAAGGGAAAATGAAAACGACTCGTGACAAAAGCTCTGATGGGAAGTAAAGTTTTTATGGGAGTGATAATTGGCAATGGAATAAAGGCTTTCAAGGGCTGCAGAGACTGGTGAAAAATGGTAAAGCACGGAGGAAAAAGTAAAGCACAGTGACGGGAGGTGTGAGAACCAGTGAGAACAGCACAGTAAGGGATGAAAGAAAGGGGATAAAAGAGAGCTTGAGAAAAGCGGAAATTGATAGGGAGAGGCGGAGAGCAAGTAAGGGAGGGGGAAAATATACAGCAGCAGTGCCTAGCAGGGCAGTGAAGGCGGAGGGAAGGGGTAACCAGACCAGGGAGAGGTGGGGTGAAGAAGAGGAAGGATGAGGGCGAGAGGGCGGAGAGGAAGTTGAGAGGGAGAGGAAGCCAGAGAGAGGCGGGGTGAGGGAGAGGCGGACAGTGGCATTAATAGGCACATGGGAGAGGAGAGGAAGTGCTCACAGCAGCAGTGCCGAGCAAAGCTGTAAGTGCGGAGAGGAAGTTGAGAGCCAAGGCCTGTGTCACCCCCATGCCCGACCGCACCAAAATGCCAAAATCACCAATCTGAGGGGACGCAAGTGGGGGGCAGTGAGACAGAAGAAGGGGCAAAGGCGTGGGGTGGTAGGGGTACGAGAGTAGGAGAGGGAAGTTGAGAGCCAAGGCTTGTGTGGCCCCCATGCCCGACCACACCAAGATGCCGAAATCACCTATCTGGAGAGTAGCCAGGAGGCCTATTTTTGAGTCGACTAAAAAATGATGCTGAAATCACCTATCTGGAGAGTAGTCAGGAAGGCAGTGAGATGCGGAGGAGAAAGGGCAAAGTCGCGGAGAGGGAAGGGTGCGAGAGCAGGAGAGGGAAGTTGAGAATCAAGGCTTGTGTCGCCCCCATGGCCCACCTCACGAGAATGCCAAAGTCGCCAATCTTGGAGAAGACGTGTGGGTAGGGGGGAGAGGTTGGGTAGGGGGGAGAGGTTGGGTAGGGGGGAGAGGTTGGGCGGGGAGGCGAGGTGTGGGAGTGGGGAGCGTAGGGGAAGGGGGGGGGTGGCAGTGGGGAGGTTGGAAAGGGGTGGGTACGGTCAGACCCACCTGCGATCGAACCAGAATGTTGAGATAGTTGATTTGGGGAGGAAAGGAGGGGATGAGACAGGGAGGAGTTGACTTTTGACTTTTGAGTTGACTCAAAAGTCAACTCCCGATCGCACCAGAATGTTGAGATAGTTAATTTAGGGAGGAAAGGATGGGATGAGACAGGGAGGAGTTTACTTTTGACTTTTGAGTCGACTCAAAAGTCAACTCCCGATCGCACCAGAATGTTGAGATAGTTAATTTAGGGAGGAAAGGAGGGGATGAGACATGGAGGAGGAGGGCGGTTGGGGGAGGTCTGTGCTGAGATAATAGCTTCTTGGGGGATCTCGTGCGCGAATTTTGAGACGTCTCAAGAGCATGCGACTTTTGAGACGCCTCAAAAGGCATGAAGATGCGCAAGCAGCCCCCCAGTGCACCCCGATGGAAAGAGGGAGTGGGAGGGGGTGTGTGCACTTGATCTGAGCACTGGCTCACAGGATTAAAGCCAGTGCTTAGATGAATGGAGATGCCTCGTTACCTCCTGCTGCTAAGCCCCTCACCTCCTGGGGGATCTCGTGTGCGAGAATGAAGAGCATGCGTGAGCATGAAGAGCATGCGCGAGTAGCCCCCCAGGGCACCCCGATGGAGAGAGAAAGGGGGGTTTTTGCCAAAGTCCAGGGGTGAAGGGTCTGGCTCAGATGTGGTGACCTCCTGACCCCATGCTGGTACTGGGAAAAGAAAAGCTCACCTCTTGAGGGATCTCGTGTGCGAGCATGAAGAGCATGCGCGAGTAGCCCCCCAATCCTCCCCGATGGAGAGATGGGGGGGGGAGGGGGGATGTCCCATGGACCATCGATGACACCTGTACCACACCGAACGCATGGGAACCCTCCCTCACCTCTTGAGGGATCTCGTGTGCGAGCATGAAGAGCATGCGCGAGTAGCCCCCCAATCCTCCCCGATGGAGGAACGCCGAGCCCAGCGACATGCCGTCCGTGAAGTTGTGCTGCCAGGGGGAG